AAAAAAAAAAAAAAAAAAAAGAAGAAACCACTGTTTGCTACAAATCAAAATATTTTTTTACCAAGTAATGTTGGAAGTTGTAAAAAGTCAAAAATCCATCCCATAATATTTGATGCCAGCCATAAAAGAAATATTGACATCGTCGAGTTACTGTACCGAGCACCATCTGATAGATGAGTGTCATTTTGTGAAGTGTTATCGTCTTCGTACAATACAAATGTATTATTCTCTTCTTCGTGTACCAATGGTTGCATAAATGGTCGATGTAACACTGAATGTATTTTTGGCGATTAATTAGGAAAGAACAGAAGAGGAATTAACAAGGTAAAATAGATTTGTTTAAATTGTGAAAATTTTTTCTTCTACATTGTCATTATCTATTTCAAGTCTTTTTTTTTTTGTCGTTGCTAGATCCAAAGTCTACTAAACGAAGTCTACGGTCTTGGATAAGTTCACGAAAATGTTATTTCTGTAATGGTGAAACTAGAAAATTGAAGTTGGTTGTTAACGCTTGACAGTCACTGAGGAACAGTTAGAATGCTTGAAAATATATCTGTTAAATTGTAATGTCCTGAATTTGACAACAGTTTTGAGACTAGTGATTTTTGCTTGATTATGTAATGTTTTTTCTAATCATCAAGTAGAAAACTTAGTTAAAGGCTTTATAACTAAGAAAAGCTTCAGAATGTGATTCTAAATTTAATTGTTATAAAAAAATTAGTGCACAATGATATACAATAAAACAAAGTGTTGTTTTGCAGTTATGCCTTTTTTTTTTTGTTTAAATTTTTGGTCAACCAGGTATTTGTTTAATTGTTGGCAATATTTTAAGAAAAAAATAGATAGAAGACTAAAGGTAAAGATTAAATTATTTAAAATACCAACCTGATACAAAGGTGACATACAGTGATATGAAGATAATAATTGCAACAACCAATACATTGACCTGTAAATAGCACTTTAGGCAACAAATTGGTAAAAATTGTTGCATTTATTATTGATAGCAGTAAGATAATTATTATTTTTATCTTTGATTTTTGAATAACTACTAAGAACTGAAAATCTTTTCAGTAGGTATCAAATTTAAATGAATTGTTGCTGCTAATTTAACAAATAAATTAAAAAGGATTTTAAGAAATGACAAAAAAAAAAAAGGCAAAAAATGTTAACAGATTCGGTGTTGTTGATCAACTTAAGCCAAAAACGTTTCAATTTATTAGTCTTTCAGACGTGATTTCTTTAATTTAATGTATTTGTTTAACCTTAACTACTATTCTTAGGTTTTATTTTAGTGGTTTTCTTCTTTTTTTTTCTTTTGTATTTTTTTTTTCTGTAAGAAGAGGGAGAAAGATAAAACAAAAGGCTTTAGTTTTGATCTATATACCGATAGATAAGTGGCTAAAATAGATGTTAGCTTAACAGTTATCTAATTATTCAACATCACCAAGTGCACTAATGTATTTTTAAGTTTTGGAAACGAAAAGATGAATAAACGAATGAAAAGAAAAGTCGAGAGACGGAGAAGACAAGAAAAAATTGGTTAATGATTTGTAGAAAGAAAAAAAAGAATTATTTTAAGCTTAAAAATCAGATTACGGTAGAATAAATTCTTTCTTTTTGACATTTTCTTTTTTGTCTATTCTATCTTTTTCTCCTTTTCTCGTATTCGATGACTTCAGTACAGTTGACAATCCAAACTTCAAATATACAGTACTCAAAAAACTACTTTCTTCTACTGCTTTTTTAAGCTTCTCTTTGATACTGTTTTTCTATTGAGTAGACGAAAAAAAAAAGAAAAAACGAGAAAAAAAGACTTGAAAAAAAAAAGAAAAAAAGTTAAACACTGATTAAAATAAAAATGAGAATTTTTACTGATAAAAAATAAAAACAGAAAAAAACAGACTTCCTTTTGTTGAATAATTCGTGTTGCAATATTTTTTGCTTCAGCACCAGTTTTTTCTGCAACAGCACTTAAGCCATGGCTGATCTGTCGGCTGAGACGTTGTTTACCATTAACCGCTTTGATTTCATGCATCTCAATTTGTCGTTTAAAAAATCGTTTAAATGCGTTTCTGAAAAATATTTGCAAATTTATTAATTGTAATAAATTTCACAAAAAAAAAGACTTATTGTTTTTAAGGTGATATTAAAATTCAAAAAGAAAAAAATTTTATATACTTTATTACAGTGTATCAGTGCAAAACAGACTGCCTGTTAACTCAAATACTTTCATTTTTTATTTCAATTAAAATTTATATTTAGAAAACAAAAAAAAGAACATTTAAAACGACATTAGTATAAATTTCTGTGTAAATATTAAAAAAAAATAAGTAAAATTGACTGTAAAACGTATTTCTGTCTCTTTTGACAGTACCAAACCAAATGCTCAATTGGTTTATTACTTATCGTTGTTTTTATGCTAACTTACTAAAGTTGCATTTAAATAATGTTCTAAACAGTTTTCATTCACACTTTCTATTAACAGCAATTCCGTTCACTAAAATAACATTTTGTTTTTTCTCCGCTTAGATTATCTAATTAATAATTCAAATTTTGATCAAAAAAAAAAAACAGAGAAATATTCTTTTGGACAATAGTTTTAGAGAATCTCATACAGTGAAACGAAAAGTGGTGACAAAAAGTTGGGCAATTTTTTTTTCAACAAACACTTTTTGATGATTAATTTGTTGTTATTTTCTTTTGATAGTCAAATTTTGGTTATTTTTCTTTTGTTTTTTTTTTTTTT